GATAAAGGGAGGCTTTTGCCATACTGAGAGCTGGCAAAACATCATGTTGGATCTTGGCTGGCAGATAATCAGAACTGGAAGTACATTGGAAATTGGCCCAACATCTGTTTGGCTTTTGGAATGGCTGGGGTTTGTCATCTTCCAGAGCTGGCAAGGCTTGCGTGATTATAGCCAAGTAGACCTTGCATGTTCAAAAGGAATAAAAAATATTTGAACGTTATTTACCTGGTGTTCTCATGCTCTCTTTATTCAGGTTTTCTCACTGGTCCTTTTATGTAGCTTTGGTGTGAGTCTTTTCCACGTCTGTCTGAGCGGGACCTGCTGCTAATGGGGAGGAATCCAGAAATTTGGAATTTGGAGAAGAGATAGAAAAGAGACTTAGTGACTAGTTACTAATAGTGCAGGACCACACCTTTCACTTCTATTGTGGCTTTTTAAAATTAGTTAGGAGTGCTCCCCCAGCCCCTTAGAGAGGGGTTACCTGTGCTGACTCGGATCTGAGGTCCCCTGAGGCCACTGGCAGACAAGAAAGGACCAAAGGAACATGTGGCCCGTGGAAGTCAGCATAGGTTAGAACATTTTGTAGGGCCATGTGAGGTACATTAGGTTTCTTTGGAATTTGTCTGTCATCAGACACTTGAGGGCTGAGCCAAAAAGATAATATATTATCCAGTGTTAGTTTCAGTTCGAGGGAAATGACCAGCAATGAAACTATGAGATTTGCCGCAAAATCTGTCTTTCTGTGACTGGAAACCACAGCACGTGTGTCTGTGTGCGTGTGGCCTCATACATGTGCCATCTTACCTGTCACATGCGTGTCCCTGTCATGCTGTAAAGTAGGCCTTATGCAGGACTTTTGGCATGATTTTGTTTCAGGAAAATAGTTTAAAAACCCAAATCAAGTATTTTCCCATAAATTAAATGCCTTTCTAAGAATGGTGATGATGCTGTAATAAGAAACAAAAGTGAGAATAAGAATTTTGTTCACTTGCCTGTGGTTATACTTATTACTCAATAAGGCCCAACTGCTGATGATTTCGTTATATTTCCTTTCAGCCTCTGCCATGTAGGTATTAGAGGTGCTCTTCTGTACCAAGCTCCTACTTGATTATATTTTCCCCTCCTTTTACTATCTGTCTGATCTTCTGTCCCCCCTGTTTTGTTGTAGGCTAAATTGGATCAAAGTTGGTTAATTCCTTTAAAAACTAATTTAGCAAACATTTGTGGACTTCATGCCAAGACCACTGCTAGATACTATTATACACATAGTTTGGGCAAATAGAGAGGAAAACTAACAAGCAAGAATCGTGCAGCGCAGCAGGGAGGGTGGAAAGCACGGCGGGTGGAAACTGCTCTGCTGTGTGTGTGACCTCAGGCAAACGTCTCTTCTTTGAACCTCTGTTTTTTTATCCGTAAAGTAGAGATCATATTACCTACTTTACAAGAGATCTCAAGGATTAAACTCAATATTATGCATAATGTATACCAGTTCCTCAGTGCTTGTTTAATGCAGGAAACCCCCCGACCCCGTTTCTTTATCTATCCCTCCCTCCTTTCCTCTCTCCTTCCTCCTTCCTTCTCTTTTTTTAGTACTGGGGATTGAACTCAAGGGCTTCACTGTATTCCCAGATCCTTTTTTTGTTTTTTGTTTTAATTTGGAGTGAGAGTCTCACAAAGTCTCTCAGGCTGGGCTTGAACTTGGAATCCTCTTGCCTCAGACTGTCTGAATGCTGTGATTACAGCCGAACACTGTTATATCTGGCTGTGGAGAGAGAGAGAGAGAAAGAGAGAGATTTGGTGCTAGGGATGGAACACAAGGGCTTGTACATGCCAGGCAAGTGCTCTGCCCGTGAACTACATCCCAACCCCAACCTTATCCCACAAGCTTGTTTTGGTAAGAGGATCCTCCCTTCCTCCCTAATGTGCCCCATCTTTACCCAGGGAGATCTAGGGGGTTTTGTTGTTTTATGAGTACTTTGGTAAATGAAGAAGTCCACTTGAAACACACACGTGGTGGTCAAGGGCCACCAGCTGCTTTTGAAGGTGGCTGAACCAGAGGATTTTCTGGAGCTTTTGCATAGCTATAGGGACCTTAAATACTAAGGGCGAGAGTAAAATAATTCAGAGTAACAAAGGAGGTTTTAGAGGCTGTGATGGGAGAAAGAAAGAAACAAGAGAACAAAGGAGGCATCTGGCCTGGAAGAAACTTCAGAGAAAGAACAGAAACATTTGGGATTTTTACAGTTTTACATTGTTGTATGGGATACACATTGCCTTGGTGTCCCTGGGGCTGGTGCTAAGATTACCTCTGGTAATGCAGTATCCTGGTAATACCATGATTGTAAGGGGAGGAGCTCTGGGGGAAGGTCTGAAAGCATGGAATCCGCTGGAGCAGTAGGGGAAACAGAGTCAGCCAGAGCACAACCCAGATCCTCAGTACCAGACGCCTTCCTCCAGGAGTCTGGATACCCAAGCTTTGCCTGTCCCTTTTTGCCACCATCTTAGCTCTTCATTTTGGCCCAGCCTCTTGTTGAGCTGTACTCAAACTCTGCTTCACTCCTTGAAGTCCTCCCTGGGCCTGGCAAGTCCTAACCCACCTCCTCCAGCCCAAGGTAAACTCCTGTTCATCCTTCAGACTCACCTGAGCAAACTGTGCCCTGAGAGTGCCCCTGACAGCTGGGCAGACCTTTGAACCTCCTTTGATGGCTGGAGGTTAGCTTTGGTTAGGGTTTTTCTTTTTTCCACTCCCTTTGCTTTTGTGATACATAGAATATAGAAACACATTAAGATACACTCAAAGCTCCCACCGTGCATGACAGTGAGTGGCAGCATTTATTGAAACATGGCTGTGTGCTTTTCCTCACTTGATACTGACAACTGTCCTGGGTTGAGTGTTTAACGCAAATTATTGTCATTTCACAGCTAAGAAGACTGACGTTCAAAGGGGTTAAGTATCTGATACCCTGTGTGGGGCCCTTTCCCTGAGACAGTGAGCCTGCGGGCACAGAGAAGGCTGTGGGCACAGCTTTCACAGCAAGTTCACTGCTGGAATAGTGCCCTCCTCCCCACCCTTCACATCTGGACGCATCTAACAGTGGCCTGAGCTGTACCTCTGACTTGCTCTGTGACCCTAGGGAAGTATATAACCACTCTGTGTCTTAATTTCCTCACAAAGGAAGGGGCTAGGCTCAGACTCCAGGCCAGAACTGAAGGGTTTTGTTGGCCTGTGACCCTTCCTTCACTGCATTCAAATTGTTTGACAAAGCCACACTTGTGGGGAATGTGAGAAAGCCCTACCAACTCAGCCCTCCCTCACCTGTGCCATCGCCTCAGTGTGCCTGAGCCTCTTGCTCAGAGCTGGAAGGGCTTCAATAAGCAAGATATATTGTTATGGTTTCTTATGTCAGCGTGTGCGTAGGAGGTACTTAGGACCCGGACGGTCAGCTCTCCACTGCTCTCCCCCTCATTTTGTCAAGGTTCTAAATGAAGTGTTATCTGGTATTCAAGGGGCCGTATTTCAAGAGTTCCGAGAAGCACCACTGTCCCCCACCCCTCTTTTGTGAAATAACAGGAAAAGACGTGCTTTAGACACAAACAGTCCACTGGGTTTTCTGAGCTTGGATCAAGTGAAATGTTTATTTCTACTGGTGAATTTCTCAAGAGCCATAATATGTGAGAGCATAGGAGTTTGAATGCTCTTGTCCCCAGCTTACACTGTTCTGGTAGCCCTGACCAGTCTTCCTGTTGTTCCACTCCGTCTTGCCCTGTGAAAAACAGTGACATAGTTCACAGGTATAGACTCACCCATTCCGTCTTTACTTCCCCATTCACCTTTCACAGCCCCATCTCATGTTTTGTCTTTAAATGCTTTTGAGTTTTCACAGGAGACACTGTTGAATTTTCATTGGAGGGAAAATGATTCCTCTGTGATAGACCTGCTTTCCAGGCCGGTGCATTGTGTATGCACCTGTCTGTACTGGAGGTGTAGCTTAGTCCCTTTTTGCTCATGCCACTCTGGGCAGGGGCAGGGTAGTATCTGTGCCACCCAACTGGGAACCTAGTGCCCTTGAGCATATTTTTTGTTTGTTCATTTGTTTGTTTTGGGACAAGGTCTCACTCCAGGCTCACCTTGAACTCACTCTGCAGGCCAGGCTGGGCTCCAACCCTCCTGCATTAGCCTCCCTGGTTACAGACATGTGCCACCATGCCTGACTCCCTTGAGTTTGTTTTGAGGTTGCAACCCAGCTCTTTGACTTCGGTGTTACAAGTTTGAGAATCTGAGTGGAGTCGTGTATGTACCTAAAAGAGATAGGGCCTCAGTTGGCACACAGACCTGGCACTGAAATGCACTCCTTTTTCCATTTCCTCTTATGTCTGAGACCATGATGCTGAATCTTTTAAAGACCAAGAGCCAAATTGCAACCCAAAACTCATTGTCTTATTTATCACAAAGTGCCAACTCTACAATTAAACCTAAATACTGAGGTTATAGTTTAGAAAAAAAATAATTCGTACATTAAAATCTTTGGCCTTAAAAAAACACAATAGCATATATGTTATCAGTTCTCCACCACTGGTTCAGGAGGATGTCACCATTTGGTGTTAGGCTGTCCTCAACATGATAAGTGCCACCCAGTCTCTTTTTAACTAAGAGAGAGCATCCCTTGGGTCTCAAAGTGTACAGCCTCCACCGGCTAGAGTGTAAAATCATTCTTCAATTTTTTTTTTATAATTACTGTCAATAATTGCATAAGGAGTGATTTCTCACTTATAAGTAGTAATAGAAAATGTATGTTTTAATGCATTTATTTATAGGAGTTCAATATACAGAAAATTTGGACACACATTACAGTACAGGCAGCAGCCAGGGCTGAGGAAATCGCGAAGGTGATTGCTGAAAGAAGGGTTGCTGAGGAAGTCGTGTTCTGCAGGCTTTTCAGGGAGGGGCCAGGTATCCTAGAGAGGCACTTGTTCTCACATCTTTCCCATTTTCGTTCCAGGCATGGATCCTGAAAAACTAGAGCGAATCCAACTGCCAGTGCCAAATGTGGCCGAGAAGACCACCTACAACCATCTACTGGCTGAAAGACTCATCAGGATCATGAACAATGCTGCCCAGCCAGGTGCAGGCCTGGGGGCGTTGTCGATCACAGGGCTGTGGAGTCAGAGGGACTGGGTCCCCAGACTGGGTACCACACCGCAGGGCTCTGGATCTGGCCCTTTTAAGAATCCAGGCAAATCTCATTTACTCCCCTTGGCGTGTCCTGGTCCACCAGTACTATAACCATGTCTTTATCTAAATCACCTCTATCCCCTAGCCCTGAAACCATCTCTTCCACTCCACACCCAGCCCATCTCTTGCCAGTTTTTCCAGTGTTTATAGGCCTTCTTTCTGGGTGACCAGTGGAGATAGGGGTCAGCTCCTTGCCAGGAACTTGCAGAGGCAGCAGGGTTTGGGGTAGAAGATCACATTCCTTTCCCTTCAGGCAGCAGCAGGAGTCCCTGAGGGGAACAGTGTAATACGTGGCAGACTTGGCTAATTGAGCCAGAAAAAGGGATTGGCACAGGGACAGGGAGGAATAAGACTGCTCCAGAGGCACACTGACCCAACAAGACCCGACAGTGACCAGAAACTGTTAGTCATGGGGCCAGAAGAGGTCATTGAGTGGAGGCTGGGCAGCGTTTTTCTGGGGTGGTTCCTGGGGTTTGTATGATGCTTAAGAAGACCTATTTTATGTTCAGGTAGTTTTTCATTTTTGAGCATGGATTCTGTCTTCTCATCTGTTTCCTTCTGACTTTTAGGACATTGACAAAGAGTGAGCAGGGAGTTGCGTGGGGTTTTCCCCAGTGGCTCATCCTGCTCCCTAATGTATTCATGCTCAGAAGAATGATCTGGACTCCTTCCTCCTTGGCTTTTTCTTGCCAAGACTTTGCCTAGAAATAAGTCTAAAGAATCACGGGAAGGTTTGCATAAGAACAGTTGTTCTTTGAACAGTTGCAGATGCTTCTGTGAGAGGTGGCAGATGTAGGTTTGACTTGCAGAGTACTTGAAGTCTGCCATTTGCCCTGTTGTAAGGCCCTAGGCAAGTCATTGCACTTTTCTAACCATCAGTTTTTAGAGGCACCTATTGCAATGCATTTATATATGTGTTTCTTGAGAATACATAAAGCTCCTGGCACCCTGCCTGGCTCACAGCAGGTTAGTGTAGCAAGCTGGGGTAGGCAGAACTTGGTTACAGTTAATAGAGACCCACCTCAGACTACTGTAAATAGTTCTAGCAGAAACAAAGCCATGCTGGCTAGTAAAAGCTCAGGGTCTGGCCTGAGGCACAGCTAAATCTAGAAGCTCAGCTAAATCTAGAGGCTCAAATGTTTTCAAGACTGTGTTTGGACCTAAGGTGGTATGGGGGTTCTTCAGAGGAAAGAGTGACATCGTTCCTGGAGATGGGAGAAGAATGCTAGACAGAAACAACAGTAGCCTGCAGAGAGTTACTTCCTAGGCTTCTGCAGCGCTTAGCCTCTTTTCCACCTCCCCTCTCCCTGATAAAGGGACTTCAGAGACCTAGTTGGTATTCCTTAGTGAAATAATACCTGACACTAACAACTTGGAGGAGAGGTTTATTTGGGCTCATGGGTTTTAGAGGTTTCAGTCCATGGTTGGCTGGCTCCAAGGCAGAAACGTCATGGTGGGAGGGTCTGGAGAGGAAAACTGCGTAAGTCATGACCCAGGAAGCAGAGTGAAAGAACCGAGAAGGGAGATAGACACTTCCAGGTCACGTACCCAGTGACTGCGTCTTGTGACCAGCCCCCACTTCCTAACATCAAGTCATCTATATATATCACCCCCATGATTTAATTAGCTTCCAAAAGTTCCATCTGTGGGCACATGAGGCATTTGGGGGTACATTCTTGATCTAAATGATTACATGGTGTATACGCAGCTTTGTTGGGAACGTTGAATTGTAATTGACTAGGAAAGGGGTTGGCATATGGGGCTCTCTCTGTGTTTCCACTGGATAAGACCTTGACTGGTCTACTGTCAAACCTGTTAGCCTCACAGCAGGCAGCCCAGAGCCTGTGTTCCAGGGCACTGCTCCTGGGGATGCAAGGCTGACCTGCTGTGTTCTGCAGATGGGAAGATCCGACTGGCCACGCTGGAGCTGAGCTGCCTGCTCCTGAAGCAGCAAGTCCTGACCAGCTCTGGCTGTATCATAAAGGACGTGCACCTGGCCTGTCTGGAGGTGAGGCCTCCCCTCTCCCCTTTCCCATGGGCCCAGGAGAGTGGAAGAGGTCAGAAGTAAGGCCAGAGAGGAGCCCCACTCCATTTCACTTGTCCGGAAGGAAGCTCCTTTCAGCTGGGACATACTTGAAGGGTTAATCCACTTACTCTAAATTTAGTAGCTCAGTACAATCATTTGATTCTGTATTTGCTCATAGGATTTTAAAATTCTTCCTTTTGTATTATAAAACTTTCATACATATATTAACATATACATTATTTGTAATTTCTGCACTAAAATATATACTTATGAAGTTTTGATAGTTTATATTGTTTCTCTGACCTTATTTCCATGTTTTTAAAGAAAATTTAGGAAGTATAGGGAGGTAAAAAGTAACTATAGTGGAGCTTAAGTGTGTTTATGGAGGTACACACTCACATATACGCATACACATACTTACAGAACAATTCTGTATTTTGTAGTTAATGGCTTATTCACCCACACACACACATAATTGTACATTAACAGGCTTTCTGTGTTACTGCTTTGAATTGCCTGCCCTTAGTCAGTTTGCATTTTGAGTTCTGCCTCTGCCCTTCCCTAAAAATCATTGTATGTATTAAAAGTATTAGCCAACATCTGTTTTACATGTACTCTGTTTGCAGAATTGGTAATGAACCCGACTTGTTTGCTTCAATACGCTCTTTCTTTTAACAGGGCGCAAGAGAAGAGAGTGTCCACCTTGTGCGGCATTTCTATAAGGTGACTGGCAGTCTGTGATGTCTTGTAGAAAGGGGATACTAGAAGGTTATATGCCTTCAGTTATTCTTTATATCTGTGATCACTAAATGAAAATGCTTGATTCATATTCTCAGAGCCGTGACCCCTACCCCTGGTACTGAGAGTTGAACCCAGGGCATTTACAACCCTTGTTTATTTTATTTTTTATTTTGAGACAGGATCACACTAAGTTGCTCAAGCTGGGCTTGAACTTGCGGTCCTCCTGCCTCAGCCTCCCAGCGTGCTAGGGTCACAGGTGTGTGCCACCATGCCTAGTGTGAACTTTTCATGTTCTCTTATAAGGACTCCTTTTATGACAATGTTTATAAATTACTTATGAGTATTTATGAATTTATATGTAAGTCACAAATCATACACATATAACCGAATAATACCTGATGAACTAATGTTCATGAGTTATATGTGCTAATACATATAAAATTACTTATCAGTGATTTGTTATTTTAAATACATGTATATTAATTATATACATATGTACTAAGAAACCTCAGGAGGGCCTCTAAACTTTTATATTAGGTTTAGGGAGATTTTATAAGGTACTACCATGATTTTAAAAATAACTGTGGAGGGGGTAGTTTTGAGGGAGAGTTGGTTTGGTGTAGTTCTGAGAGTCAAACCCACGACCTGGCACGTGCTAGGCAAGCATTCTACAACTGAGGCATGCTCTCAGCCCAGTTTTGTTTAGCTCTTATCTTAGGGCATACAGCTGTTAGTACTGGGTGGCTGACAAGCAATGGAGATGTATTTCTCAGAGTTCTAGAGATGGAGAGATCCCAGACCAAGGTAGATTCAGTATTGGGAGGAGGCCTGCTTTCTTATAGATGGTGCCTTTGTACTGTGTTCTCACATTGTGGAAGGGGCAGACAGTCTCTGAGGATTCTTTTATAAGGCCACCTTCATGATCGAATCAGCTCTAAAAGACCCCGCATCCTAACACCTTCACCCTGGGATTGGGATTTTGACATACAAATTTTGGGGAGACATAAACATCCAGGTTTTGCCTTTAGGCAAGCTTATCATTGTCAACCATGCTGGATTAATCTGTTTATCAGATATTCCTAGTAATTTTCTGAATTTTGGTCTCCATCTCAGATCTTATAGTGTGATTTCCCCTTAAAAGGCTAATGCAGCTCCTCCTAGATGGGAAAAGGTGTCATTGCTGCCGTTTTCTGTTGTTTACCTGTGATTTCATTATTTGTATTCTTTTTAAGCTACTTTATAGGAATCTTTTAAGCCACAACCCATTATTGTCTGTGTTTGTTGAAGTAAATCAGGTTCTATAATCTAGAAACCCACCTCAATGGGTTGCATGGATCCCATCCAGCTACAGTAGTGGACATGCCCAGGCAAGGGTGGCACCCTGTGAGCCCCCTATGCACTGGGGAAGAAATCCCACTTTGGCCTTTAAGTCGGGACATGCCCCTGCTAGCAAGCCCAGAGCAAAGAAAAACCCCATTGTTGAGTTAGTCATGTTTGACTCTTTCCAGGGTTGCTGCTCTAAGCTTTATTCCCCCTTCCATCAGAGCTTTTGAGTTGAACAAACAGATATAGAGGCAGGCATTTTCCCTGAAGGCAATTCTCTTCTCTTCTATTAACAAAAGGAGAAGGGGCTGGGGATTTAGCTCAGCAGCATAAGCGTCTGCCTTGCAAGCAGGCAGTCGTGAGTTCGATCCCCGGTACTGATAAAAAGGAAAAAGACAAAAAACAACAACAACAAAAGGAGAGATGTATTTGAATGTTGGTTCTCTTTTCCATCCAGATTTTTCTCTTGCTTTTATCTTATTATTATAGGCTGCTAAGTTAGGTAGACGTTAATAGACAGGCAGGGACAGACCCGCAAGAGAATCAGTGCAAAAGACCACACCAAAATTGTGGCTGGTGGCACATCCATTGAAGGCCAAGCCTCAAGATAAAGATGCATTGGCCGGGATTATAAGCTTTTCTGAGGAATAAACAGTAGCTTGAGATTGTGCTGTGATTGATATCACCTAGTCCAATAAAGTCCGGATAGACATAAGTCACCCAGGTGGGTGGCCAGAGCATCCAGATCCATCTCTCCCCCAAAGTGACTTTGTTCTTTCCATATAGTTCTGCTACTTGACTCACTTCCCAGTTGGGTCAGTATTAGCTAAGCAGCTATATCTGTGACTGTATAGGTTGATAATACTTGGACACACATTGTGCCCGTATTTTGACTTTGCTGTATAAATTACCCCTGACAGAGGGCCTCTGTGGCAGCCCATTTTTGGGAGCCCTTCTGTCTTAGGAGCTATGTTTCAGTGTTTGCTACTCTTAACTTCTCTTTTTCCTTGGAATTCATTCTTCAGTTCCAGAAAACACAAACTCAGCATATCTGACATGTAGCAGTCTGGGAGTTGCATTTCTCCTATATCTCTATAACACCTATACCCTAAGTGTAATGTCTCTGGAGCTTTTGGATGTGTTCAGGAGTTGCCAGTTCTGTTGGTGCTCCTTATACCATACAAGAATCTTCACATTCATCTGTGTTCTAATGAGTAGAAAAGTATAAAAGAGATCCCTGATGTGTGCCTTTTTCCACCCTGACTCTGTGTGTGTGTGTGTGTGTGTGTGTCCTAGGACTTAAGAGACAGGACAGTTCTCACTGTCATTGTCTAGCAGAGATGACAGTGCCAGTGAGCACTAACATTTCTCCAGCTCTGACTGAGCAGCAGACTCTGCACTCTGCATTTTATGTACATTAACTCACTTCACCTTTACAACAGATGACCCAAGAACATGGGCCTATTTTGTGTTTGTTTGTTTGTTTTCCCGTTTGTTTTCCCACCCTTGCAGTGAAACAGAGACTCTGAAGTAGGCTGGGCATTGGTCCCAGCTCTATGTGTCTCATACCCAAGTTCCTACCCCCTACCCTGTTGTGAAGGGAACCTCCAAGGTAGAGCCTCAGCCTGAAGACCTACAAAAGAGAGACCCATGTAATTTTAGTTTTAAGTATTCTTAATTATACTCTTCCTCCCAGAGATGTAGAACTTCACATTTTTAACATGGCGACTCAGCCAGGGTTTCCTGTTACTCTTATCATTCTCACAAGTAGATGATATTAAGTACTGGTTTTGTTTTTGTTTTTTGTACTAGGGGTTGAAACCAAGACTTTTAAAATTTTTTATTTTGAGACAGAGACTTGTTAAGTCACGAAATTTCTCTGGCTAGCCTTGAATTTTTGATCTTCCTGCATCAGCCTCCCAGAGTGCTTGGATTACAGGGGTGCTTTCTAACTAACTGCTTTGACAAAGCAATTCTAACTCAACATGCTTTTTTAAAAAGAAAAAAAATGTCAAACAGTACAATTTGAAATTTGGTGTTTCATTTGAATGTGTATTTGTGTTCACGTGTGTATTTTACTTCCTGGTGATTTACGAGAACCTACTAACAAGAAACAGATGGCCTGTAAAGCTGAGAGCTAGAGTTTGCAATTCTGTGTTTATGGGGACAAAATGTGAATAATCTCTTTCTTTCTTTCTTTCTTTTTAGGGGGAAGAAATTTTTTTAGATATGTTTGAAGATGAGTACAGGAGCATGACAGTAAGTAAGGGTCCGGGACACACCTGAGTTGACATGCATCTGTGTGCCTGCCAGATCCACAAAGCCTCTGTCTTTCTGGGGCCTTCTGATGAGTGGCAGAGTTGGTGGGGAAGTAAATGTATAGTGGAGCCTTTGGATCCCATCATCACTGAAAGTCCAGATTACTTCACTCCCTCTGCACTGTATCTGTAAAATGGGTCAGAAAGGTTTGCTATGATTTGAATAATGCTGGGGAGGCCTTGCTCCATGCTGGGACTATAAAGTACATTGTATATATTAAATTGCTTACCCTTCATATCAACTAAAGGTTAATGTTATTGCCTCCTCCTTTGCTGATGAGGAAACTGAAAGTCAGAGGTCAGGTAATGTTCCCAAATCTGTCCCAGCTTTCAGTGGCAGAGCCAGGCTTCCAGAGCAAAGCATCTCACCTCCCAGCCCACTGCCCCACTCTCTGGATGGTGCTGCCTCCTTTCTTGCTGCTGTAGCAGAAGATGCCAGCACACTGCACCAGCATCACCCTCCTCTCCCAGCAGGTGATAGGTTCGGGAGATCAGAGCTTTCTGTCTTGTTCCTAATCAATCTGCATTTCCAGCACCTAACCCCAAGTGGGCACTTGATAAATAGATGATAAATTATCCTTGCATGGACATTACTCACCAAAGTATGAAGTAATTAGGACATTTATAATGAACTTAAATGTTTAAAGTGTCAATAGGGGAGGGCAGGCAACTCAGCTACATGCCTCCCTGGCTTCCTAGCCTGGTCACTGGTGTCCAGACCCCTTACCACATTCCTGTTACTGTGCATCTGAGGCCTGTGTGGAGTCTTTTTCAGGCTCCAGAAGAGCCCAACAGACTGCAGTGGCCAGGCATCCTTGTGACATGCACTGCAGTTAACTGTACCCTGCTGCCGTTGATGCACTGAGCCCCTGGCATTCTCCAGCCCTTAAGCAGGCAACTCAGACTTCTTCTCTTCAGAAGATTAACCAGAATACAGTGGATTAGGTGTTATTTGCCATCTTAATCCTCCATCTCTCTTCTTGGTTTTCTGTTTGAAATTGTAGCATTCATGTGCCACTTGTGATATGGAAAATCTCAGGCTCCTAAACCCCTGCCCTTGCTTTTGTTTGCTTACTAATTGTGTGACCTTTGGCAGGTTGCTTAAATTCTAAGCCTTGATTTTTTTCACCAATACATTGAGCCTTACTCCACATTGCTGCCAGGGTGGATGTGAAATACCCGGCAAGATAATTTATGTAAAGTCCATGTGCAAAAAAAATACTTGCTTCTCCCTGCAACCCTACAAATCTTTCCTGGTTCATTAATCCACTGTTTGTGATGTCCTGCCCATTGCCTGATCTTCTAGAAAGATACAAAGATGACACGCCCCAGCCCTGGGAGCTGAAGTTAGTCTTCAGCTCAGTCCCTCGGAAATCAGCCTCTGAGCAAACTGAGGTGGAGACAGGCCCTAATGTGCTACTGGAGGGGCATCACTAAAGCCAAACCATGGCTTATTATGCTTCCCTCACTTCCCTGAGTGCCCCAGTACAGTGCTGAAGGTATATGGATCCAGCATTCATGTCCCCCATGTAGGGCTATAAAGTGCTTCCTAGGAAGGCTACAAAGAGTAAAGCAGAGGGTGCTGTGAGCCAGTGAGAAAAGCTGATAGGGCACTGCAGAAAGATCAGTGCCTAGGGTGGCGGTGGGGCAGAAAAGGGACTCTGCCACTCCTGCTGAGGAACACAGGATTGGGGCAGCAGACATCAAGCCTTTGGCAGCAAGTACTTAAGTGTCCATAAGGAAAAGGCAGGCAGCCTTCACTAATTGGCTTTGTGGCCCTCTGGATTCATAAGGAAAAACCTGCAATTAGGAAAGCCAAAAAGGATTGTTAATCCTGGTTATGACAGGCCTGAGACTTGGTCCCACTCTAGACCCAAGTTGACAGCACTCCCTGACTGTGTAGGTGTGGGTAGCAGCCTGTGTGACCTGCCCCCATGCCCTCCTCCATCTCAAGGGAAGGACCTTCAGTGAGGTTTCCTGTGGTGTGTCTCCTAGATGAAGCCCATGAATGTGGAATATCTCATGATGGACGCCTCCATCCTGCTGCCTCCAACAGGCACACCCCTGACAGGCATTGACTTTGTGAAGCGGCTGCCATGTGGCGATGTGGAGAAGACCCGGCGGGTGAGTGAGTGCTGGACCTGTCTCTCCTGGGCAGCCATTTTGTTAAATCTCTTCTAAACCAGGGAGGAAGGGGTTATGGGTCATCTGGAGCCTGCCTCCAGCACAGCTGAGATACAAAGTGGAGAGCTCCTCTCCCATGCACCTGCTACCCTTTGGCAAGCAGAAGGTGAAATCACATTGCACAGGCACCGTTGTAGCTGCAGACAGGCTGCCTTCACAGCACAGAGAAAAGCTTGAGTCCTGAGCTCAGGGAGCGGAAGCCAGGAGGCAGGGCTTCTGTGAACCGAGAGCAGAGCGCAGAGCAGCCAGTGTAGGTGAAATTGGTGTGAAATCTAAGCCCAGAGATCTCACAACCCCCAAAGATGGCGTGATGTTAAGTATCTAGCTCATTTTGGGGCAAGGCACACGCAAGTGAAATTGTGAATCTTACAGGCCTGTGGAAGAAGCGAGTGTGAAGAGCAGAGAGTTCTTAGAAGCAGCCAAAAGCAGGCACTTCCCTTATCAGCACTTTTTGTTGAAGCAAGTACTCTAGGAAGCGGTCTCAGCTGGGCTATTCATGGTATTTTATCTCCTTTGTAAGATCACAGTTTCTTTCTTAGAAAGCACCACAGCCTTTTCCTAGAAAATCATTCCCTAGAGATGTGAATATCAGTGGATAATTTAGAGGAATTCATTGCACACAGTTCTGGTTATCAGCCCACATCTTATGAATTAATCTGCGTGCTAGAGTGAAAGAGGTGCTTCACTTTGGGATTTTGGAAAGCAGGAGTGACCTGCAGTGTGACCTCAGATCAAGAGGAATCTGCAACCTGCCTCCACCCAGCTGGTACTTTTGCCTCGACAGCAGAGGGTGGGGTGCAGAGGAAGTGGGACCCATATATCTTGAGTTTGTCCACATTCTCAGCTGTCTGAGCAAACCCACAGACTTACCACAGGCCCACCCTGCCCAGCGGCTTCCACCTTCCTTTACATGCTTCTTCAAGCACTGTCACCCCCACTGGCCAGGCACACAGTTTGTTTGGACAGTAATGTCTGTTCTTGGCATCCTCAGCTTTCACTGGAAGACTAGTTCTGAAAAGGGGGAAGCATGCTGGTGACTCCTCTATGCTGGCATGTTTACCCTTCACTGCTTGGCCTAGGAGGTACTTCCCAGCGTGGTACCAGCAGACCACCCATTGCTGGGGCAGCAGTGTCCTGGGGCCAAAGAGCCCTGCTGCAGAAGCTCTGAGATACAGGTGTAGGGCCCAAACATTGCCTGCTTTTGGTTCTTGGTTATCAGCCTTTTCCAGCCACTCTATATATATAAAGTGGCTCCTTCATAGCTGTTCTTTACAAGGGGTTTCCTTATTTACTTTCACAGCCTAGCACCATTGCCACATTTCACAGAGGAAGCATCTGAGAGGCAGGAGAGGTCAAGCAATTTTCTCGAAGTCACCCAGGCTGTCAGGAGCTTACCCACCCAATGGCCCAAGCCGTGTGGCCTCCAGAGCCCAGGCCCTAAGCATTCTAACTCCTTGTTCTTACTGCATCTGTCGTTGTATCTCCTAGCCCCTCCTGGGGCTCAGCACAGGAATATTGAAAACACAACACCTTCAAGGAATTGGTCAAAAGGGCCAGAGTGGGAAAGGCAGCACAGTCCATCTATCCCACTGTCACTAAAGTGTCATGAGGGCAGATTTTGAATCCCTAAGAGAACAGGCACCAGAGAGGGTGGCCATTAAGCCAGTAATGTACAGGAGTGGACGAGGCACTGGGAGAAGCAAAGCCATGTTGTGGTGTCATTAAACAGCTGCGGCAGAGTAGAAAGTCATAAGGCCAGCCGGGGAGAAACTGACAGGAACCAAAATGGGGAGCCTTGGAGCTGATGAGGACCTTGGCCATTACCTCTTAACACTGTTTCATGACATCATGCCTTGCTGGGTTGGGGCAGATGCCTTTGCATACGAGAAAAATGGGAGAAATTAGGGGTAAGGTGTCAGGCATGTTGCAGGGAGGAGGCTCTGTTTAAACGATCATCTTCATTTACAGCATTGAATATGCCTGCCTTTCCAAAGTTATTGTGAGGACTATAGGTAAATCATGCATATTGAAGGCCACTATCAGGTCCATTATGATAATAGTTCTCTTCTTTGCCCTCACATTTCACATAGTTGCAAGCTCAGGGCTATGCTGCTCACCTTTCTTACCCCAGATGCAATGCGTAGCCCAGATGGCTGACTGAAGCACAGAGCCCCTAAGGAGTACCTGGACTTCTCTGGTGCCTCCTAATTAAGCCTTTGTGTATCTAACCAGTTTTAAAAATTGGCAGTCCCAGAGACCCCGAGTAGTAGAATGAAATAAAAATACGGCAGGCCCCTCAAAGCAAAGTCATCTGCTTTAGAGAAGCTTCCCTTTTGTGATTTCAAGAATCAAGCAAGCAAGTTGGTACACACTGTAATCCTAGCACTGCAGGAGGCTGAGACACGAGGATCACAAGTTCAAGTCCCACCTGAGCAACTTAATGAGACCGTGCATCAAACATTGTCAGTGTAATGTAAACTAGTACAACCACTATGGAAATCAGTATGGAGATTGCTCAAAACACTGAAACTAAAAATTCCATTCTACCCAGCTATTCTCCTTCTAGATGTCTTCCCAAAAGAGTTAAAGTTGTCCTATTACAGCAATACATGTATATTCATGTTTATAGCAGCACAATTCATAATAGCTCAATCTTGGAAGCAGGATATATGTCCCTCAGCAGATGAATGGATAAAGAAATGTAGTGCACTGTGCCATAAACAGGGACACATTTGAGTCATGTGTATGAAAATGGATGCACCTTGAGACTTTATGGTTAACTGAAATTAAACCAGACATGCAAGCTTAAATATCCCATATTTTCTCTTACATGAGAGGCCCAAAATATAAATAAAAAGCAATATAAAACATATATGATAGGATGTAAGGAGATAGATCTTTCTCAGATGAGGAGATCCAATGATGGGGAGGGGAAGAAAATGAAAATAGAATCAAGATGTGTTATGTACATGTACCATGTCTACACAAGAAATGAAATTATGGATGCAACCATATACTAATAAAAAATAAAAAATTAAAATTAAAAGCACTGATCATATTGCTCAGCGGTAGAGTACCCTGGGTTTAATCCTCAGAACTGAGGGAGAGAGAAATGGAGACAGAGCGAAAGAGAAAGAGTCTTGTTACTTTTCTGTCATTCCTAAGACAAAATACTCAACACCCAAAGTTAAAGGGGGAAAGGTTTATTTAGTTCAGTTTGTAGAGGTTTCAGCCCATAATCAGCTGGCTCCAATGCTGGGTGGCATGTGGCAGAAAAGCAACAGTACATGGTGGCAGAAGACAGCAAAAGTGGCAAGGGAGAGCAAGATAAGCCTCTTTCTGTCCCTTATATTTTACCTGGTGTACCAGAATTAGGGTGGTGCCAATCCAATCAGTAGACTGATCCAGCAGTCACCTGCCATTAATTCCAGCATTGCCATATGAATCAGTCATATACTCTATAGATTCAGCCACATCCAAGAAACCCCAAGGCTGCATGAGGTGGATGGACATCTAGACACAAACTATAACATTCCATCCTTGTCCCCCAAAGACTCTAGCATTTACCTTTATGTAAAAGGCATTTAGTCCAACTCTGAGAGTTGCCAAAATCCTGACAGATTCAGCATTTCTGAAAAATCCAAGTCAAAAGTGTTTTGTGAGATTTAAGGCAAACTCTTAGCTGTACAAATGAAAAGAAAGTTCAGCATTTCCAACATTTAAAGACACAAGATAGACATTTCTATTCCAAAAGCTGCAGATAGGAGGATACAGAGGAACAGGAACAAAGCAAGTTCAAAATTCAGTAGGGAACGCATTAAGCCCTGTAGTTCCATGTATAGCATCTGAGACAATCTATGGCAAGATGTGAACTCCAAAGGCTTCTCTCTTGGACTGGCTCTGCTCTCTCCTTGCAGTTTTCCTCAAATGACCCATATTCCTGGCTTCTCCAAATTTCTGGGGTCTCCACTGCATCTTTGGCTTTCCATTCGTAGCTTCACACACTGCTCACTCAGGGGCTCACTGCTTGGCTTCCCAGGTAATCTTCTGAAATCTGGGTGGAAGCCTTCCTGACCCCTTTGCTCTTCCATTCTGCATACGACTAAAACTAGCACCATGTCACTGATGCCAAGTTCTGCTGCAAGTAGGAGCAGTAGCCAAGCTTCCTTCTCACTTGGCTGTGGGGGTCAAGTGCCTGGATTGCTGAACACTTGGAATCCAATCCCAAGGAAAAAATTCCTAGGCTACCACTGTTCTGGAAGATGGTATTGTGCAGCTTTCTTCTTCTTTTACTTTTGTAATTTTGAGGCTGCAAGGGGTGAAGTCCTGCTGCTGCTTGTGGTGTCCTCAATCCATCTTTTCTACCCTCCAGTTCTTTCTCAGCAGACAGGCTCTCCTCTGCTCTATCTTTTCAGTCCACCACTTTACTAGAGCTTCCTTTTTGGCTACACTCACAATTTTTTTTTTTTTTTTTTTTTTGTCTTTTTCCTTTTTATCGGTACTGGGGATCGAACTCACGACTGCCTGCTTGCAAGGCATTCGCTTATGCCACTGAGCTAAATCCCCAGCCCCTACACTCACAATATTTTAAATCATTCTACTAGACTCTTTGCCTTTGATTCTCAACCTAGCTCTGGCTAAAAGCCTCCAACAGTAGCCATGCCACCACCTCAACATTAGACTGCCTTGAAACTTCTTCTGTCAGGTAAATTAGTCCAATCACCCTTAATCTCAGTCTCAGGCAAAGTCTCTGGACACAAGCAAAATGCAGACCAACTTTGTGCCAAGCTATAACACACACCATCTGAAGTCCCAACAGCTAATGCAGTCTTTCTTCTCCATAGAAACCTCCTGAACCTCATGTTTACCAGTTTTCTGGTCTTCTGAGTTCTGACCAGAATATCCCACACAGTATAGCCTAAGGCATTGCAACTCTGCAT